CCCCCCGGTGCGCGTGCGCACCTTTTGTACCCCACCTCCCCCAAAGCATCACAATCGTTATTCTGTTTCGCACAAACACAGAGTGGCACACATCAGGATCATCAATCGTTCATTTAGTTATCCAATACTACTTGCGAAGTGCCACAACACAATGAATCCATGCGATATTCTTGTGTTTTATATCCCGGTCATTCTGGTGGGCACAACTTCATGTACGAGCCGGATGTACGATCGATGCGAGTTTCAAATAATTACACGCGTATGCACGCGTATGGACCTATCGTACCCGTTTGGTCCAGGCCTTGATGCAGCAGTTCAAGGAGAGCGTGCTGCGGGAGGACGGCCTGTCCGTACGTGTCATGGGCGACGAAGGCGCCAAGGAGCTGGCCGACCAAGCTGCAACCGGCCTCCTCGATCTCGTGAGCACCACTATTTTGTTATTTTCTTGTCTGTGTCATGGGTGTTACAGAGAGGATTGCCTTCAGTAGTGAGCCGGCTGTTGAGGACCTGCCACCACTGCTCTTTGGCTAACCCTCGCGGCCGTTTTGCTCGAACAGTGGCCCAACTCTCCACCTAAGCCATTGATCAAGCTTTGTTATCCCCCCCCCCAACCGCTTCATTCCGCTGACCCCTTCCACGACAGGTGGATCGAGAGTTCCACAGCAGGATAAGCCGCGCCTCCGGCGGTGGCAGCGCAGACCACGTTACCGCCACTCACAATGGGCGTCCCGCGACGGACGGGAGGAAAAGAAGCGTGGTCTCGCCTTTTTCGACGGCACCGGAAAGAGATAGAGATGAGGAAGAAGATAGCGAAGAAGGCGACGGCCTGGATTGGTTGGACGGGATCGAAAGGGAGGCAGCGGGGGCAAGGAGCAGGCCCGGCGGTACAGGAGGCGTGAAGCGCACGGAGGGCACGCTGTTGGGATATGATGCCACCGCCCAACCCTTGCCAGTTTTGGAGTCTATTGGGGACAGGGCGGAGTACGAGTCGGCGTTGGTAGCCTTGAAGGTGGGCGCTGTGTTTGTCTGCCGTGTGGTGTGGTGGTGCTAGCGTGTCTCTTGGATGGATCGGAACTACTGTTGGTGGTTTACCACGGCGGGGATCTTAGTCCCCCACCGCTTGACACCCCCCCAACTCACCCCTTGTTCTTGTCACCCCCAAAGGCGTATCACCGGCAGCACGGAAACCTCCTCCTGACCCAGAACTACCTCATGCCCGACGAGGAAGAAAGCGGGAACATGTTGGAGTACCGTGGGTGGCGTTTGGGGCAAAAGGTGAGGTCTAAGGGTTTACTGCGAACGCAACGCGAAGTTGCGGCTACGGTCGGGGTGGCATTCCAAGATGAAAGGTGGAACTCCGCCGCCGGCGGAGGCAATCAATCGATGCAGGGGGCCGTGCAAGGGCACGAAGCGTTTGGTGATGAAGTTTGAACCGGGTCATGCGAGGGGACGAATCACTGGTGATGGCATTTACACGAGGTCATGCAGGGGCACGGAAGCGTTGACGATGGGTTTCAATCGGAGTCACGCAGGGGCATCAAGCGTTGGTGATGGCATTAAGACAAGTCATACTACGCCTACTGCTTTTCCCTGCCCCATGCGCGCAAATAACGGCCGCTCCTGCTACATTTGCCGGACTTTGGCTTGCTGCTCCCTCTCGACGACGACGACACTGCTGCTGCCACTGCGGCCTCCTCCTCGAAGGTGTACACGATGAAGTTCTGGAAGAGGCACGTGAGAGACCGACCATCAAGGAGAGCGGAGTTGGCTAAGCTGGGCTTCGTCTGGGGAAGGTGCGGGCATTGCTATCATTTGCTGCTGCATTTGCTGCATTTGCGGCTGCTACTGCTGCTGGTGATGATGATCATCATCATTATCTGATGATGATGATGATGTTGATGATGATGTTGTTGATGATGATTTTTGGTCGTCCATTGGCTTTGTTTGCTCTCCTGCCTGAGCGCTCTGCAGCGGTTTCCCACGTTTGCTTGCCCGCGTCCCACCTTGTTTGAGCTCTAATTTTCGCCGTCTCTACCCCATTGTACGGTTTGTTCTTCGCGTGACAGGTTGCAGGACGAGTACAATTTGTTTCTGGAGGCGTTGTTGGCCTACAGAGATATCGAGGTTAGTCCCTCGCTTTTGGAGCTCGCACTCAATAGGTCCGATCGATTTATCAACCTCCCCACGCTTGTCCAGGCCTGCATATAGTCTCATACCTAGTTTGTCAACTTGTTGTTTCAACATGTGCGTGTGTTCCTCCATGTCGAAGAATAAGTTAGAACGGCAGGACATTTGTTTTCAAGGTTTGATGGATGTGCTTCGTTCCGCATGGCGTCGTATTATGAACAGAATAGAGTTGCGCTCCAATCAAGCGTGTTTCGTCTGGAAGAACCATGATTGTTTTCATCACCGCCAGCGGTTCACCCTTCCCCCCCCCGCCCCCCGCCCCCTGCCCTCAATTATACTCTTTGTACTGCCAGAAGAAAGGCATGCCTTATCTCGGAAGAACAATGCTGTGTTTGAGGTTGTCGCCAGTGATGCCTTCCCTTCTCCCACGTGCCCCTTTCGTAATTTCTTCGTTGTAAAATACTAAAAATAAGATATTTTACATGCCTGTTTGACCGTTTTATATGATTTCCTCGCATTGAATCAATTAGACTATTAATGTCATGCTCACTCTTTCGTATCGCTTTTTTTGTTTTTCGCGAAACGCTTCCGAAGGGGTGTCTACTTGTTCCCACTTCGTTCGTCGTCCCGGAAACGGAGCCCTGGCCCCTCTCGTGCCAGGGCATGAGGCTTGGGGCCAAGGTGGCTGGGGTGAGAAATCAGAGCTTGTACGTCAGGACGGATGTTGCGCGATGGTGAGTGTTGTTGTTGTTGTTGTTGTTGTTGTTGTTGTTGTTGTTGTTGTTGTTGTATCATTCCTGCCAACTCGTTGTTGGTAAAACTCGTGGCTTCTGGGGAAAAGATGTTGTATTGATGAGACCTTGGACCAGGAGAACAGGTCAAAAGGTGGAGTGAGCTGGGTGGGTGCACAGCATCCCAGCAGCATCACGCTTGGGCATCCGCCCGATCACGCATATACACCGAACACGGACCGATGCATGGAACGGACCAACGCACTTTTCTACGTATCACACATCCTCGGGCTAATGTACTATCCACGAAGAACATTCCTACAGCCAGAGAGAAAGGACCACGAACGTTCCACTATATTCTCATAATATGTGGCTACACAGCGACTCTTCAGCTTGACAGTCCCGACAATCAAGCTATCCAAGCAGACTACGCGTCTCTCGATACACATGCCGCTACCTCGAACAACCTCCCTTGGGGCTGTTGTCTCGACCAGACCAAATATATATATCAGGAAAATATAAAACCCAAACGCAACTCAGACCTCTACTTGTCTTACTTGTTAGGTCTCGAGCCCAGAACAAAATCACGATGAACATCAAGCAAGTTTCTCGGCAAAGCCTTCGTCAGGATATCTGCATGCTGTTCTTCGCTAGAAAAGTCACTGATTGCCAACACTCCCTCCNCGCACTTTTCTACGTATCACACATCCTCGGGCTAATGTACTATCCACGAAGAACATTCCTACAGCCAGAGAGAAAGGACCACGAACGTTCCACTATATTCTCATAATATGTGGCTACACAGCGACTCTTCAGCTTGACAGTCCCGACAATCAAGCTATCCAAGCAGACTACGCGTCTCTCGATACACATGCCGCTACCTCGAACAACCTCCCTTGGGGCTGTTGTCTCGACCAGACCAAATATATATATCAGGAAAATATAAAACCCAAACGCAACTCAGACCTCTACTTGTCTTACTTGTTAGGTCTCGAGCCCAGAACAAAATCACGATGAACATCAAGCAAGTTTCTCGGCAAAGCCTTCGTCAGGATATCTGCATGCTGTTCTTCGCTAGAAAAGTCACTGATTGCCAACACTCCCTCCTCTATCAAGTTCCTAAGAAAATGGTGCCTCACGTCTATTGCTTACTGTTACACAAGCTAAGGGGATTCTCAGCAAGCGCAATCGCACCCTCGTTGTCCTCAAATACCTGAATCTTACCAAGTTTCTCACTCGGCCTTAGGAACTCTAGCATTCCGTTCACAAACAGAGCTTCCTTCACACCATCGCCCATCGCAACATACTCTGCTTCAGTTGTTGAAAGTGTGACACATTTCTGCGTCCTAGAAATCCAAGCAACAAGACAGTCAGCTACAAGAACTAGTGCTCCCGAAACTGATCTACGGTCAGTGGCCTTCTTGGCGAAGTCTGCATCTACGTACACCAACGTGCCTACGTCTACCATAGTGTCCTGCTTGTACTTCAAAGTCAGATGTGGCGTCTCCAGAAGATAACTCAGAATCTTCTGGGCCAATTCCTGTGGCTTTTCTTTGGCTCGTGAGAGAGAGTACCTCGCCACTGCCCACACAGCATTTGAGTGCCCCGCCACTGCCCACACAGCATTTGAGTGCCTCGCCACTGCCCACACAGCATTTGAGTGCCTCGCCACTGCCCACACAGCATTTGAGTGCCTCGCCACTGCCCGCACAGCATTAGAGATGTCGGGCCTCGTCTGGTTGGCGATCCACATCAGGCACCCCACCTACTCTCGGAACGGCACATCTCCTGCCCCCTCATCCTCCATCACGGACCGCTCTCATCCTCATCGTCCTTGGATTTCCCAGTCTGGGAGGGATGAGGGATCACACGAGCCAGGCAGTCCGATCTCATGTAGCCCTTCTCCCACACTTGAAACACGTCCCCTGGAACTTCTTCTTGAACGAATCAGATCCGGAGTTTCTCCCCTAGACACAAGAGCAACACTGTGCTTCTTCACATTCACTTGTGTCTATCTGCAGGTCAAGGTATCTCTCGCGTACTTTCGTCTCGATTGACACAGGGTCGTTTGGGAAAAGCACTACCAGAGTCTCACGCAAAGTCTTATACTCTTGGTATTGTTCCTCGAGCATCAGGGTGCACACCTCCCTATCATGCTTCTTAACTTGTAGCATCTGCAGAACTCCAAGAGTCTCTCTTATAGACGCGAAGAAGGTTGAGGGATTCTCATTCGGACGCATACGCAGCGACTTGAGTTTCTTTTCTTATACACGGATCTGATTCTGACTCAAAGGAAGAAAGTGATCCTTCAACACTCGAAATGCCTTGCTGGGGGACCTAGCATGCCTAGCCATGGTTTTGAGGGAGTCTTTCTTCAGGCAGTCAAACAAAAACCACCATGCCATCTCTGCCTGGCGCAGCACGCCTACGCTGTATCCTTTGTCTACCAAGGGGGTCAAATCGAATCCAATGTCTGCAATCGGAATATCATGCATTGACACAAACGCTTCATACAGATTGTTGTGACGGGCACTCAGCAAAAAGTTCTGCGAGCACGGTGGATACGAGACATTAGTCCCGTCCAAAACAGGAGCTTTGGGAACTTTAAAAGGGCTCCTACCCAACTTCTCTCCTGTGTCTGAAATGCCGGCCCCAGGGATCAGTGTATTTCCACCGGCGGCATGTCCCCACCACTCACTCGATGGAGTAGACGGGGGCGGAATGAAAGACTGGCTACCTGGTGCCCCACTCCCGATTCCGATCGAACCAAAGTTTGCGGCACCATCAGGGGAACGATTAACTGAAGATGCATCAGGGATCAAGCCTGAGTCTAAGAGACCACTACTCTCAACCCGATTAACACCAGTTGCACTAGGGTTCAAGCCTGAGCCTGCGCCTGCAGGACTACCACTCCCAACCCCAACGCTGGACATGCCAAGGACTGGGGCATCGCCGCCCGTACCTCCCGCAGTCCCACTGGTTGTATCCGATTGATGCGCACCAGCCCCGTACTCTGTTCCGCCGCTTCCCAGCGCAGTAGCACCAACAGAGGACTCCACCTGATCACCTCGTTGCCCAACAAGCGACTTGATTACGCTCGTGAGCTGGGACAACTGTGTCTCAATCGAATCCAGTCNATGGCGTGTTGGTAACCTCGTGGCTTCTGGGGAAAAGATGTTGTATTGATGACACCAGCGTAATCAGTCGACTGCTGCTTGTCCCCTCGGACTGTACGTCAAGACTGCACGGAGGAAGATTGATCACCTTGCTTCGTGATGAGTGGGCCTGCTGGGGATCATGNGTCCTCTGTTTCATTTGCTGCTGCGCCGGGAAGCGGCGGAACAGAGTATGCTGGTGTGCATCAATCGGATGTCACTGGCAGGACTGCGGGAGGTACGGACAGTAGTGCCCAAGGCCTTGGCATGTCCAGCGTTGGGGGTGGGAGTGGTAGTCCTGCAGGCGCAGGCTCAGGCTTGAACCCTAGTGCAACTGATGTTGATCGGGTTGGGTGTAGAGGTCTCTTAGACTCAGGCTTGAACCCTGATGTATCTACAGTAAATCGGGGTTCGAATTCCTCGTGGACCACTTGTGACGCCTTTTTTCCGGAAAGTCTGGGATACGCCTGAGAGACGGTATACATTCCAGTCGTCCAAGTGAAGACACCTATGCCCGCCTGTAAGTCGATGAACCGCATGGGGCAGCGCTGATTACAGGGATTGCAACCCTGGGGTTTACCGAGGTCCAACACCTCTAGCAGGCTGAAGGACCCCGGTTGTACTTTTGTTAAGATGTACAGCATATCCACCATGCTACAAGTCAGCGCCGACTTGTAGCATGGTGGATATGCTGTACATCTTACCACTCGTCCGGTAACTCCTTGAAACTATGGCAACAGCTTCTCTGTGTACACACACACACATGGTTGGTGGAAAGTTCCCCTGTACGCGGTAAGGTTTATTTCACAGACAGGCGTCCGCGACAAAGGCCCAAAAGCAGCAGTTATGGTAACCAGCACGGGGTGACGCGTGATGATGAGTACCCCACCTCCCCTATGCCCCCCCCCTGCCACAGGTACCAGCTGGATGCGATAGGCTTCGTATGGGATCTGTCGGACGCCCCTTTCCGCCAGGTAGGGACTGCGACTTTCACGCCAAACGCGCAGGGGTGCGGGCAGCAGCCCCGCCGCTGCGCTGTCGCTGCTCCAATGCTGTGTTCGACAAATGCTCCTATGCTGCTGATTTCACGTAAGATCACGGCCTCACGCGATCTTCCCAACGGTTTCAATAAATGGCATCACGACGATAGGTGCACGGACGGTTCAGCACTCTCAGGCTTTTTATCGCATCCGCCACGCGCTACATGGTACCACTCGGCGTCATGGTTTGTTTTCGGCTCTAATGTTCCCACATCACCGGGGTTCTGGCATCTCGCGTCACGTACGACGCTTCACAGGTGTACGACGCCCTGCTGCAGTACAAGGCTGAGCACGGCAATCTTCACGTACCGGTGGCCTTTCGCGTGCCGTCGAGCCCGCCGTGGCATCAAGACCTGTGGGGGCTGGCACTGGGGCAAAGGTGAGAGAGACAGACAGACGGACGGACAGAGAGAGAGCAGCTTATGGGATTTTTCGAGTGGTCTGGTGATGCTGCGCGTCATCGTGTGGCGTATAGTTTTTCGCTCCTTGGGTTGTTCGCTTTTGGTTTGGGTCTGGCGTTTGATGTGATGATGCAGTTCTTAATCGTTGGGGATCCGCGACAGGCTTGTTGGTGCGCTGTATTTGGTGCCGTTGGTCAATTGTGTCACGCAGTTTGTATACTGTGCGCGTGTTTGATGTTTGCTTTGCCTTGGAGGTTGATTGTTGGTTCTAGTTGTGATGTTGTAGGGCTCCCTGCTGACCTCATTCAAACGCGTTGTTGGCAGCAAGGGTATGTCAATGGCTTCGACGATGTACCAGGTGATGGGCATCATTGTACGCTTTCGTGTTGCATGGGTCCNCGTGAAAGCACCAGAAAATAATTCAGTCATACGCAGCTGTCATCTGAACGCAAGGAAGTAAGCACAAGATGCCGAACACCCTTAGCAGGATGCAGCGCACCCTTCATGCGACTCGCCGAATATCTCACGGCGCTTCGCGCT